TCACATTTCGCGAGTACCGAAGTTAGCAAAACGATATATGTAAAACTGGTGTAACATAAAAAAATTGGTTTCCTGCGTGTCTTGATGAAACAGGAATTTGAAACCCAATCATAAAACGGCTCACTTGCTGAAAGACAAGCTTGTAGCTGCAATTTAACTGAATTTTTACAGCATCACGCATAAACCACCCGTTGGACTATTTGCATAATCGTTTATTTTGTCAATGATAGGTAACTATCTAAATAATAACTAAGAAAAACAAAATCAGCGAAGTATGAGGTGAAGTAAAACATAGAAAGTCTTGTGGGTCAGTTTACATGAAATGTCGTAGTTGAACCAACGACTGATCAATTACAGTTATTCGACATTACGTGAAAAGGATTTCAGCAATTGCTCGATCAATTCAATGAGCAACAAGAAATAAAAAGCAAAAGTAAATTTTACCAAATACAACACGATTTTAAATCTTCTTGCACTATACAGCGGTAAATTAAATCAGTGATGGCATTTAGCCACCTAAGTAATTTAATACTTCAGCAAATATGGAGAATACATCAGTCTTTGTTTAACTGCCTACAGTTTGTCTGTTCAAGGCCGAATATTTAGACGCAACCACAGACGAAGAACAGAAAAACAGTGTCTTTCTGCCATTTTCAGTAGTAGAGAACATGAGATGAAAAACCTAAGGACAAAACAGATTCTCTAGGCAAGGGGCAATAATTATTACTTAAAAACGGCTGAAAAAATATCCGACTTTAAACAACACTATTACTTGGATCAATTGAACCGGCGATAATTGGAAACGAATCATGACCGCCGCAACACGTCTCCCATCCCTTGCTGTTACCAACCTTCTTTGTCCAAGCGCACGGCTTTCCTGAATCCTGATATAATCTTCCCAACTCGGTGATTGGCGACCGAGCGGACTAGTCTCGAATATTGAGTAGTCGACTAGCTCAATATACAAAAGGATTCGGTATTCCCTAACGCGCCCCCGCAGTTGACTAGAGAAGCAAAGATATAGACCGCTATGCAGTAGCTCTTTCGCAATTCTCCGTAATTTTTTGACTGATATTCATCTACATTTGTCGACAATCTGTTGGTAATAATCTTAGTGAACAACTTGTATACCTGTGACGCAGACAGATTTGACAATTATTCTTCAGATCTTTTAGATTTTTTTGTCCTTTCTGGAACAGTACGATTTTTGACTCCTTTAGTCTCGACGGTATCTTTTCCGTTTCCTGGTAGCAACTAAACCTATCCGCTAGATCCTTCCCCAACGCCGGATTACCCGCTCTGTTCATTTCAATTATCAGAACGTTACTTTTGTGACTAACTCTTCCTTAATTTGCTGTGCTGCATGCCGAACTTAGTTTATGAAGAAGGTGGAATACTTCTTCAGCTTTTTGAAATGAATGTGGAGAAAGCGCGTGTCCTTCAGAAAGCTGGATATTAAAGTTCTTGCAGATAGACGCATCTCAGCTCAATCAGACGTGAATGTGCTATCCCCAGTCTTCATTGCCGTAATGATTGACCGAAAAAGCGCTATTTCCCACACTATCCAATGCTTCTGTAGTCTTCACTGTTTTCTCTCATTTTTAATCGAAATGTCTCGCAGTCTTCCTTTAGTCTAATGTCTCGAAGCCTCAGTGCAATGAGCTTGTAGAAAACATAGTATTCCATTTATCGATCCAATCTCTCTTCATCTTCTTCCATTTCGCTAGCAAACTCTTTGCCTCTTTTGAGATCTATCCTTTAGCTTTCTCTGATGTTAATATCTCGGTTGACTTCATGCAGCGACTCAACTTCTTTACGAACTTCTGATTGTCGTCGTCGCAGCTGCCTTTCAGGTTCCAATCTTCCGTAGAAATGTGTTCTAGGAGCATCGACTCTTCGAATACCTTCGCTCCTTGTTGGCAACTTTCCACTTGCTGTGCCTTCCTTTCGATCTTCTCCTCAGAGGTTAGCCTGACCCGCACCAGTGTGTGATCACTTCCGATGTTGCATGATGAGCGTGCTGCAGCTATTCCTCAGATGATGCGGTGTTTATCGAACAGCACAAAGTTAATCTGGTTCTTCGTCGCTGCAATTGACGCGATTCATGTTCACAGATGTTGGTTTTCTTCTTGAACAAGGTATTGTCATTGTACAACTGTTTCGTCTCTGCCCATCTTCCTCTTCAGTGACCTACCCACCGTCAAATTTTTCATCGCCCTATTACGTTCGACTTCCGCATTGAGGTTGCCTATGATAATGGTATGCGGGGAATTTGGGACCAATGCCTGTTGCTGCTATGGATACGAGTTTCGCCACTTTCTTCTCGACAGGTGTACTTGTAGCAGCATATGCATAAGTTATTGGTCAGTTAGAAGCACAGTACACCCAGTCCGGGTGACTTCACCTGGCAGGAGACGATTTTGCAGCATCAAGTATTGTTCGTCTATACCTCGATATCGGGAAGTCATTAGACATTGTGACTTTTTTCTAAGAATCGAACTTGTCGAGCTGAAACCGAACAATGCCCTGGTAATCTGAACGCTGTTGTTCGTGACTGCCTATTTGTCGCAAATATCCTACATATCTAGAAGTCGCTTCTCTATCCGCAACCTGGGAACAAGCCAGATCGATAGATACACTGATGAACAACAGTACATCCTCAAAAACTCTAACAGACAAACGTAATAGAGAGAAGACTATTTATAGTCTATAAAGAGAATATGTCAACAGATATGCATTAACAGCATTAATAATAAAAGTAAACAAATATTTTCGCTGCTAACGAACAATTAACAGTTCAACATATTGAACTGTTCACCTAATGTTTTCATAATAGCGACGTGAGAAAGTTCCTTGTGAGAAGACTTCACTTTTTTGTAATTGGATTGGACGAATTTGGCAAATGGCGGTGGGCTGCGAATCGGAGTTACCATAGGATTCCCGTTGGCGCGAGGTGCTGGTGTTGAGTAAAACAGTTGTAACCGACCACCGCATCTTCCGCAAAACGTTGTTTCGGTATTGATGGATTTACTGTGGCGCGGTATCCTTTAAAAAGAGAGTTAATTATAAATCATTCGAGATTCATTTCCATTCTGAGAGAGCGTGACTGCCTTGGTTGATTTTGAGATCGTATGTCAAAAGACGATCGAAAAATCCTCGTCTAATGTTGCCAAATTTCTAGCCAAAACAAACAGCCATCTTTAAGATAGAGCTGCATAGAAACTACAAAACGTTACAGAGCATTCAGGTAATTTCGATTAGCAGGCGTAGTAAACATCAGGTTTTGAAACATCGTGCGAAGCAATGCAACAACTACATACCTTTATTTATTAGGTGTGATTCGTTATACATCGGTAAAATTTGTTTACTCTATTAATTACTGGAGCATTGTCTCGTACGAGTTTAGAGACAAGTTCTGTAGCCGAAAGCACAATTTCTAAATTTAATTTCTAATGAGTGAAACAGGGTTCAAACATGAATGAGCACTACTTAAGCCACCTGCTGTTCTGGGCAATATTCTGATCCTCTCAAGACCGCCAGAAGAAATTTCTAAAGAATAATCCAAGGGCTGAACGACGCCAACATAAAGGCCGTAAGACTGAAAATTAACCTGAAGAATACTCAAGTCATGTTCCACAAATAAGCCAACGCGCAACCTGTTGAAGCTAACGGACTTAAGCTTGAAGAGTTGTGAAACTACAGCTATCTATAGTAGCTCAAGTCTGCTACTGGGAGCCGACAAAGAAAAATCAACAATAAATTAATAATGGCATGGAACACATTTTGAACGGTGAATGAAATGTTCCTCTCCCGGAAAGAAACTGCCTATGTGCTTGAATGGGAACATATTCGATCAGTGTGTGCACTAAGTATTAACATACGGGCGCGAAACACTGGCCCACACCCTAAAAGCTATTCAACGCAGCAATGAAAGATGTGCGTTGAAAATAACAAGAAAAGGTAGGAATACCAATGAATGGATGGGTGCAGATAAAAGAGACTACGATGTCACTGCATAGAATGAAGAAGCAAAACTGGCAATGGGCAAGACACGTTGCAAAAGAACCTACCATTGTTGAACTAGAGAAATGTTCGACTGGACTATAAGAGAACGTAAAGAAACGATAAGAAGAATTCCAGATCAGTTGTAGGATGAGCTGACGAAGTTCGCTCTTTCAAGATGGATGAAAATCACAGAAAACTGAAGTGTATAGCAAACTCCTGGAGAAACTTTTATTCAGCAGTAAGTCGACAAAGGTTGAGGATGATAATAATGTGAATAGAGGCAAGGCACCCACCAACAACAGCGATACTGAGTACTCGATTTTTTTTGCTGATGCCATAATGCGTAAGCATGAAAGGAAAAGGAAAGGAAGATTTGTAATCGTTGGAATGTCATACTGCTTCACACCATATATCAACCAGCAATATCTTTCATTTCTGAGGCAGAATTCCCAGCTATGTGACAAGCGTAGCGTGCAATCTCGTTTCATTCTCACAGAGAAGGTACTCACTTATCAACCTTGGAAGGAAGGAAGGCGAGTGACCTGACCGAGATTCGAAACTGGGACCTCCCGATTTGGAGTTTGATGCTCAACAGACTGATCAAGCCGTAAACACAGTGCACAACGTGTCAGTGATTTATGAGGAAGCGACATAAACGACTTGTGGTAAAAGGATCACTGTGCATTCATTGCAAAATTTGTTTTTAATAGTTGGAACCCGTAGCGAGTCTTCGACCAGCAGTTAACTACGTTTTCCCCCTATAAGTCAAGGACACGTTATCTTTTATACATTAATGGAGAAATTAACACTACTGCGACGAAATTCTTATAGATCTCCTGTGTCAATTGGAATTTAAGATTTGAACCTTTGGCGAACAGAACTTGTCGGAGAACGTGAACACAATTTGGATAATTTGCCAATGATTAATCATGAAAAAAACTCAGACGATTATCAAACAGCCATCGAACAAATTTTAGCTTATAAACACAAACCATTCAATAAGTTATTACCTCTTTCATATATCTAAAGCTTGAGACTTATTGTACCTTCGAATCGACGTCACTCGTCAACATTTTTAATTTACTGTAATCTGAAGGTAGTCAGCACTTTGATCAGAAAAAGGCTATTTTAACCGAAATTTTAGGAGTATTATATCAACCATTTTAAATGTTCCATTCTTGGCGTGATGCCAAAGGAAAAGAAAATTTGAAACTGTTGGAATGCTTGCATTCTTACATTTTCATGAAGTTAATGATGGAGCATTGATCTCCAACTCTATGCTATCAGCCGAGTGCCTTATTTTTTAAAGGCAGATTCAATAACAACTATGTGAAAAGTATAGCGTGTACTCTACTGCTTCCTTCTCACAGAGTAACACTCATTTGTCAATATCGGAAGAAAGAAAGGTGAGTGTCCCGGACGGGACTAGAACCCCTGACCTCTCGAGTTGAGTCTGACGTCCTAGTAACTGACCATATAACGTCTGTCATATCACTGACTGTAAGTCAAAAAAGCAGTCAGGGAATAATTATATTTTTAAGTTTCATGCTAGTTGACTGTTGAATGACAGTAGCATGCAACAATCGCCTTTCACGGACAGCCAGATATGTGAATGCGCCTACTTCTGGGAACAGACTGAACAGCAGTAGACAAATTTCGTCTTAATGTCATAGGTGTGACGCGTCGTAACAGGTGGAATTCTGGGAAAGGCGGCGTTGGCTTTATTGGCACTAAATTGATGATGTTAACATTTTGTGCAAAACTAAGACCATTCGCTTACTAAAGTTTCCAGCATGAACCGTGGCCGGATTTACTTCCATCGATTAACCACGCTGCTGCATGGCACATTTCGTGCAACAGCGTGTCACGAATCCTGCCTGAAAATCAGCATTTGTAAAAGCGTCAGTAATTAACGGTGAAAAAATACAAAAAAGACAAGTGGTCGAATGACTAAACAGCGCAGGATTTAAAACTGATAGTACAGGCATGAAATTAATTCAAGCAAGTCAGAGAGGGCTACATGGCATTTGAGCATCATTAGGCATGGAGCAGGTGGTGGTACTGTACCAAGTGAAAGCTTACTTCGAACGAGTACTGTCTTATGCACGAATCCATATTTTTAATGCTGGTAAAGACACACGTTCATGAAACATCATTTATGGCAAACAACGTATCGCTGCTAAAAATAAACTATACAACCAGACAGCGTGATTGCCTGAAATACTGTGGAACCGTGGTGATTAAGGAATTACTTGAGCAATGGAGAGTGCCCATACGCTGTGAAACTGCGAAAACTTCTGATGATGTGTTCGCTCATTAAAATACTTTGGCATACCAATCCGTTTTCAACGGGGATTATTTGTGAATGGGACGACTTTATGTCGAAAAAAATTTATAGGTTAACGCAGTTAGCCATCTTGAAGCAGCACGCTTTCAGGCGATGAGACTTCAGAGATATAGGTAAATTTCATCTATCACAGAAGGAAAACAAACATTTACATGTTATATGTTTGCATTTTTTCAACCACTGTCTTGAGACAAATACTCTGAACAATTGAGATAT